TCTAAATCACGTTGTTTATTGTTGTGTGCACCTTATCTGTTGTTTGTTTACATCTCATTGTTTATATTTTTGTGTACCTTATCTGTTGTTTGTTTACATCTCGTTGTTTATTGTTGTGTGCACCTTATCTGTTGTTTGTGTAAATCAGGTCTCTCTTGTAAATGAGTCCTCGTGGCTCAGTGGGACTAACCTGTAGAAATCAAGGTGTAATGATAAGAGGTGCTTCGTGTTGAGAGCACTGCTGCGGTACAACCATGAGCACACTGCGAGTCCATGATTCATTTTACTTGTTCACATTTTAATTTAATCCCATTACATCAGTATTAATACAGTTTGACAGCAACGTTGGTATCGTAATCTAAAAATAAAAACAGAACTGGTTTTCTGCTCCATAGCAGTAGACGTGTGGAATTTCAAGCTTGAAACTATATGATGAGAGTTTCAATATTATCAATACTTGTATTGATTATCATTCCTCTACCTTAATGACACACCGCTCAGATGAAACGAGATATGACCTTTCAGACTGTGGCCACTTCGAAAAACATCATTAGCACAAAACAAAGTGACAACAGTCAGATTTCAAAATAAATCATGTTCATGTCACAAAAAATCCGGTATGAGTTGCATGTAGGCCCAAAAATCACCAGATGGGCTACTGTTGCCTGCAGCGTGCACAGAGCATCAAACCATGCCTGAGCTCAACAGTGGCTGCTGGAACATGGAGAAAACAGGAAGTAGCTTACATGGTCAACTTCCTTTAGAAGGCTGAGAGTGACCCCAAAAACCATGAGAATCAAACACTGCTGGTGGAACTTGACACCAGCTCCACATCTGGTCTAATTTCATTCCTGTCCAAGTCAGCACCCATAAATATTTTCTTTTTGGTACTTTCCCAAATCTACATGTGATTTGAGTAGGTAAAGAAAGTTTGAGCCCAATGAGCTAACTCACCAGTTCACTGACAAGAGGGATGGCCCTCCTCCGGCGGAGGTCTGGCATGCTGTCGATACCAAATGGGGGGCTTCCCCTGTCAGCAACAGAAAGAAGATGAATCCAAGGAAACACTGCAAACCTGCCTGCAACACACAGAGGCACGCTCAACTGACCCAGGTCTGGTCCACAGGAGCTTGGTGACGTCACCATCTTGGTATTGGCTCTGAAATGGAAGGTCATAGGTCAGGATGCTTTTAATAGTTTGAAGGCTAAAGGTTGGCTTTAATAGAAGTGGAGCATGCACATGCACATGAGATGAAGAAGGAAGTGAAAAGCAACAACTGCAGGCAATAAAAGGAGTTGGTTGAATTTCAGTCTGCATGCCAACAAATCATTGTCCATTTTCGCTTGACAAGGACAGAAGAAAACACATTTGTGTTGTTTACACCAAAAACTTGTTTTGTATTGTTTAAGACATGATGGTACCCGTTCTTTCAAACCAATAAAATCAGCATCAACACAACGAAAACAGAAAAAATCAAAACTAAAGAGAGAAAATGTCATGAAAACAACTGTTTCACACATTTTAAATGAGTAACAGCAGAAGAGGTGACCTGATCTCTGTCTTGACTCCCGTCTGTGAATCAGCGACAGAAGAAGAAGACAGAGAAGACAATCAGTTATTGATCGGTCCGGCTCACGATGGACGTTTCAGTTTGTCTGAATTATGCCACTAGCAAGTTTCTTCAGAAAGATGGACTTGAAGGTCAAATGTTTCCTGACAGGTTGGATAAGAATGGCCCCTGCCTTCGTCTTTATGTCAGACATCTAACAAGGCAATGATGTGAACGTTCATGAAGCGTTCACTCTACTGTCAGCCTCTTTTCTTCCATACATTTGTCAGCATCTTTCTCATCCCACAGTTTTCAGCTGTTCCAACAAATCATAAATCAAAACGTTCAGCTCTTTAAGGACAAGCTTGTTCTGATTTTTGGCATTGGTGCAGCTTTAGCTTTTTGAAATATTTAGCCTTTTCTGCCATTTTTTCCTCATAGAAAATGAATTGAGCTCATTTTACATCTTTCACATCTTTAGATCTGTTTACAACCTTTTAATGCTCCTTTCATATTTTGTTCTGCTTCAGCTGCTTTCAGCTTCCTGCTGACAATAAAAATAAATTAATCCATCCATTCATCCATTCTCTTCCGCTTCCGCTTATCCGGGGTCGGGTCGCGGGGGTAGCAGCCTAAGTACGGAGGTCCAGACTTCCTTCTCCCCAGCCACTTGGTCCAGCTCCTCCGGGGGAATCCTGAGGCGTTCCCAGGCCAGCCAAGAAACATAGTCCCTCCAGCGTGTCCTGGGTCTTCCTCTGGGCCTCCTCCCATTGGGACGTGTCCGGAACACCTCACCAGGGAGGCGTCCAGGAGGCATCCTAAACAGATGCCCGAGCCACCTCAACCTGGAGAAGCAGCGGCTCTACTCTGAGTCCCTCCCAGATGACGGAGCTTCTCACCCTATCTCTAAGGGAGAGACCAGACACCCTGCGGAGAAAACTAATTTCGGATGCCTGTATCCAAGATCTCGTTTTTTTGGTCACATCCCAAAGCTCATGGCCATAGATGAGAGTAGGAACGTAGATCGATCGGTAAATTGAGAGCTTCACCTTTTGACTCAGCTCTCTCTTCACCACGACAGACCTGTAAGCGCCTGCTTCAATGCAGACACTGCACTTATCCGCCTATCGATCTCACGCTCCATTTTTCCTTCATTCGTGAACAAGACCCCAAGATACCTGAACTCCTCCACTTGGGGCAGGACCTCTTCCCCGACCCGGAGAGGGCACTCTACCCTTTTCCAGCTCAAGACCATGGCCTCGGATTTGGAGGAACTGATCCTCATCCCGGCTGTGTCACACTCGGCTGCGAACTGCTCCAGCGAAAGCTGTAGATCACAGTCTGATTAAGCCAACAGGACCACATCATCTGCAAAAAGCAGAAGCGATCCTAAGGCCACCAAAATGAGTCCCCTCAACACCTTGGCTGCACCTAGAAATTCTGTCCATAAAAGTTATGAACAGAATCAGTGACAAAGTGCCAGCCACTGGCCAAAAGGATGGCCCAGCACAGAAGATCAACATCATCAGGCCAGGACTCTGAGGTCTACACTCATCTCCAGGTCAGAGGTCACTCTTTCAGGGATGAAGATGTTCACATCCTGGACAGAGAGGAACGATGGTTTGAGAAAGGAGTAAAGGAGGCCATCTTTGTGAAAAGAAACCGTCCATCATTAAACAGGGGTGGAGCCTCCAGGTTCAACTGTCCCCCTCTTACAATGCTGCGATTGCTAGTATCACTCAGCCCTCTGTGAACAGTAAACAGCCATCAGGTGCTAATGATCCATTGTTAGGCTGATGGTCCTTCTTGAGCATGTGATCAGCTGGTTTTGGTTGTCAGCAGCAAACTGGTTGATCCACTCTGAGAAGGTGCTATTTAAGAGACTGAGCTGAAAACAGCACCTCAGACTGAGGAAGTCTCTCGGATGAGAGACGAAACGTTTCTAAATTTTTTTTTTTGCTTTGTTTTGTTTTTTTGTTTTTTGAATGTCCAGAGGACCAGAATGAACTTTTTTGGATTTTTCTACCTGGATTATTGAGCATGCATCAGGAGACAAAGTGCAACCTTGGCTGAGTCCAACTCTCACCGGGAATGAGCCCGACTTACTGCTGGCAATGCGGACCAAGCTCTCACACCGGTTGTACAGGGACCTAACGGTCCATATCAAAGGGCCCGGTACCCCATACTCCCAGAGTACCCCCCACTGGGTTCCCCAAGGGATGCGATCAAAGGCCTTCTCCAAGTCCTCAAAGCACATGCAAACTGGTTGGGCAAACTTCCAAGCACCCTCCAGGACCCTGCTGAGGGTGTAGAGCTGGTCCAGTGTTCAACGACCAGGACGAAAACCGCACTGCTCCTCCTGAATCCGAGGTTCGACTATCCGATGGACCCTCCTCTCCAGAACCCCTGAATAGACCTTACCAGGGAGGCTTCAGAGCATGATCTCCCTGTAGTTGGAACATACATGGTGGGATCAAGGTCTTTGAAGTACCCATGACATCCCGAGTTGAGGTCAGCAGCACTCCACCTGCACTATAAATAGTGTTGGTGGTGTACCACTACACCCCCCCCCCCCCCCCACCCAACTCGAGACGCCGGATGGTGGACCAGAATCACGTCTAAACCATACGGAAGTCATTCTCCATGGCCTCTCTGAACTCATCACACGCCTGAGTTTTTGCTTTAACAACCACCAGGGCCGTATGCTGCTTGGACTGCCGGTACCCATCAGCTGCTTCTGGGGTCCCACAGGCTAAAAAGGCATGATAGGACTCCTTCTTCAGCCTGACAGCAACCCTCACCGTCTTTGCCCACCACTGGGTTTGAGGGTTGCCGCCGCAACAGGCACAGACAATCTTGTGGCCACAGCTCTGGGAAGCCTTCTTGACAATAGAGGAGTGGAACATGGCCCACTCGGACTCAATGTCCCCCACCTCCCCCGGAATGTGTTTGAAGTTCTCCCGGAGGTTGGAGTTAAATCTCCGTCTCATGGGAGACTCTGCCAGACGTTCCCAGCAGACCCCCACAAAATGTTTGGGCCTGCCAGGTCTGACCGGCATCCTCCCCCACCATCGGAGCCAACTCACCACCAGGTAGTGGTCAGTGGACAGCTCCGCCCCTCTCTTCACCTGAGTGTCCAAGACATGCGGCCAAAGATCAGATGAGACGACAACAAAGTCGATCACCAAACTGTGGTGTAGGGTGTCTTGTTGCCTTTTTCAGCCTAATTCTGCAAAAATGTGCTCTCTCCACCTCTTTCTTGTAATTTAAGCTTCTTTCTGTTTTTTAGCTACGTTTCAGCAGGTTTTTGTTGTTGTTGCTAATTTCAACTTTTTTCAGATCATTTCCACTTTTTTGTGCTCATTTCTGCTTCTTTCAGCCCAAGTGGGCACATGTGTTCTTTCTGCTTTCTTCTGATAATTTAAGCTTGTTCTACCTTTTCAGCTACCGTTACTTTTTTAGCATTTTCTAGCTAATTTCAGCTGATTTCAGATAAATTCACGTTTCCATTGTCATTTCTGCTATTTTCAACCTAATTAACCTATATCTGCTTCAGCTTGTTATACTCTTTTCAGCTTATTTCTGCTAGTTTCAACCTTTTCTGCTATATCAGATACTATTTAGCTGTATTATGTTAAATGTAGCTTTTTCAGCTAACCCCACATTCTTGGAGCTCATTTCAGCTACTTCCTTCTAGTAACTTAAGCTTTTTTCTGCTTTTTCAGCTACTTTTAGCCATTTTTTTCTAATTTCATCTTTTCAGAAAATTTCCTAATTTCTGTGCTCATTTCTGATTATTTAAACCCAGTTTGGCAAATATGTGTTCGTTCTGCATTCTTCTGCTATTAGGCTTGTTCATCCATTTCAGCATGTTTTTTTTTAGTTTTTTTTTAGCAAATTTCAGCTGTTTTTCAGCAAGTTCTTCTGCAACAAGTATTTGCACTGCATTTTCACAGAAAATACAATTTGTCTAGTTAATAATTTGTAATTCATAAAAGGGTTACTGTTGACACCTTGGAAAGGAGCCAGGGACTCTGAGTGGCAGCAGACACATGACACACAGGCAGATACAAAAGTAGAAATTCAGCAGAGACCATTTGGTTCAATGAAACCACAAGAACTGTTCATAAGAAGGCTTTCTTCTAATTCTTATCTCAAAGACTCACAGCACATGAGACAGATTAAAGACCCGCCATCACAAAATGGCAACAGCAATACTTTATCATTGTTAACCAGGGATGGAACGGTTTATAAAAATAAAAACGATCTGAGTCATTTGGTTCAACTGTGTTGGTGTGGATTGAACAATTTGGACCAGGTCAGATCTTTTAGTTTTAGAACGTTAGTCTGCAAAAGCAGAAATCATAGGACTATCTAGAGGGCATTTCTATATGATGCGATTCCATGTTTTGCAGCGACACATCAGTTTTTCCTCAGCAAATTTCTATTATAGGCTAGTCTACTTAATGCCCACCCAAGCAATCCACCAGTCATAGCAAACTGCAGACTGCATTCAGGTAACACCCCCCCCCCCCCCCCCAACAAACCATGCAGAATAAGAAACAGGAAGTGTTCTGAATCAGTTAGATAGTTTCTGTCTTTGTTTTTATCTTAGACTTAAAAAATTACAAACTAAATCCACACAATAAAATAAACATGCAATCTAAAATCGTGCCATGGCTACCTTGCTCCGCACCATCCTGAGATAAGGTAGTAGACATGCTGAGAAGGCTTTGTCTGGACTCCCTCTTCTTCCGCAGAATCTCCTGAAAGGTCCTCACACACTCAAGCTTGTATTCATCCATCTGACTTATCACTGGTTCTGTTTCATCTTCCTCTGGTTTGAGCTGTGGGCCTATAGGAACATCTGCAACTGGCTGCTGTGGCACCTCAGCTTGTCCCTGTTCTTCCAGTGCCACAGATTCATCGACCAAGACAGAGACCAACAAGGATTCTGTTGTGGTGCGTTGTGAAAGCTGAGCCTTAGGGTTTGCACCTTCAGGAACCTTTGCAGGTTCTTCACCTGAGCTCGCTGCTGGTTTCTCAATGAATCTATCAGGTACTGAAGTGTCAGGGCACACTGTACAACCTTTACGACAAGGATGCATTTTGTCTAAACTTTGGCAAGCTTTGATAGATTTCAGTTTAAGGCTGCTGTTGGTTCCTTCAAGCTCAGGCATGATGGATACATTTGATATATCAATGGTATGGTTTTTGGCTAGTTTCTCAAAAGCATAGCCACAAATAATAATATCTCTTCTTTGAGTTTCACCAGAGGTTTGCTTAATATTTGCCTCATAGTTTAGAGGTTTTGAAGGCCACTCCATTGAAGGTATGCCAGAAGGTACTGACAGTTCAAAGTCTGTTTGCTCTTCAGGATTTACTGCTCCAGGTACCTCCGGTTTGCATAATGCACCCTGCAGAACAGAGCTAAAATCAAGTACAGCTTGTCCAAAATGTTTAACAGTAAAACTGTCTGGTTGGAAATCTGCACCACTAGGATGAGGGAGTTGATTTATTAAGCTTTGGTTACTGGCTTCAGTCTTTAGGATGAATGGCCTGACTTCATTATCCCCGGATGTACATAATGTCTCTGTCCATGTCACTGCTGAAGACTCTTCATAGGCTAAATAGGTTTCAGTTTCACAGTTTGTTGTGTAGCTCAGATCATTTGTTTGCTCAAAATCAAATTCCTCTGCCTCACCATCATACCCATCAACTGAATGGTAACCTGAACTTTGAGGGTAAGATACATCAGCTGAATATCCTAGAGTGGAGTTTTCCAACAAGGTGCTTGTTGAATCATGAATCTTAGGGTGGCTTTGGGGTCGTCTTTTGTGTAACTGCCATTCCTCCCTGCTAGAAGAGCTGGCAAGTGAGTTGTAATGTTTTCCAGAATTAATGGAAATGTGTTCTGTGCATCCTGTGGACGACTGTAGTGGCACACCATATCCTCCTGCTCCTCTGCAGTGATCCCAGCTTCCAGCTTCTTCACAGCAAAGAGCACTCTCACTTTCATCCACCTTAAGATATCCACCCCTGTGGTGACAAGCTTCTCTTCGCCACACTGATTCCCTAGTTTGTGGTGGCACAGTGTTAGTCCAAATGTCTTTCCCATTCCCAACTCCTTGCTCATTTCTTGCCTGACTAGATGACAATCTCTCTAAGTCAGACTCAGACTTGGAACTGTGACCAGAAGACAAAGAACTAGTGCTTAAACAGTCTTGGCCTTCCCATTGTTCAAGAAAGCCAAAGTTCTGTGTCCTTGCCATTGCACCTTCTGGTATATCTGAACTATGATCAGAGGTGTCATCAATTTCTTTTAGTTCCTGATGAGCTGCTGATGTGAGAATTTGGGGCACAGTAGCTTTTCTTGACTTTGTTAGTAGAAATTCTTCTGGTGTGTAATGGTGCTCATTGAATATGGGAGGGAAATAGTTTGAACTTGACTTTGGTACAGCATTCCCTAAACTACCATAAGCGCTAGCAGGTCTCTTGTGTATGGATAGTCCATCTTTGCACCTCGTTCCTGAACACGTCCCTGAACCTTCTTTGTTGCTAGAGCGAATGCCCTCAATTTCCAACAATACAGCATCTACACAGGAGGATACCTCCTCGACAGATCCACGCACCGAGGTCAGGTAATCCCTGAGGTCAGATATTTCCTCCTGGATCTTGTTGATCCCCCTCAACTCTTTCATAATATGATCAATGATTGCACTTGAAGCCTCTTCTTTATCTTCATCCTCCTCCAGAAGTGTGTTTGGTCGGGCTCTGTTGAAGTTGTAGTCCACACAGTCACCAGTAGAATACGGCCTTTTGGGTCGACTATCAGGTGAAGAAAAATCTCGGATTCCAGAAGCAAATTTAGTTCCACTGACTTCTGGGTTGACCTGACTGTAGTATGAGAGTGGTCTCGTTGGCTCGGAAGCTTCCCGAAGTCCACTTTCAAAAGATATTCGTTTTTGACTAGCTGGGCGTCTGCAGCTCTTCTGCTGTAAAGTGCAGGGTATCTTTATACACCCCTCTCTGTTCAATTCCACGTCTCCAACACACGACAGTTCTGATGAGGCTCCATGTCTTTTAATGATTGAGCGTTTTGGTGGGACGACTTCAGTCCTCGGACTGACCTTTGGATAAACACTTCTGAAAACCTTTCTACTATCATGTATCTCCTGCTCCTCTTCTTGTCCAGTGCCCACATAATAGACATGAGAATCTGGGACATGGTGGTCTGCAGAACCTTGCAAAAGGCGATGAATTTTCCCACGTATAACCAGCGCTACTTTGGGATTTGGAGCCCTTTTTTTAGGTGGATGATTTTTTGACTTTGTATCTTCTTTGGGGGAAAGTCCTGCTCCATGTTGTCCATTAAAGCGATTCCTGGAGAACATTTTCTCAAGAAAGCACAAAGAGCTTATCTCTGTCACCACATAGTCGGTGGGACATATGGTCAAAAGTCTTGTGGAATCATAGTTGAATATAAAAATAATGTTGCTAGAGCATTATTCTGCCCTACAACTTGACTCTTCCATGACTAAAGTGGAAACAAAGAATGAAATAATTAGAAAATAAATTGTACAGTCATATTCTGCCCATTTAATTGCTAAATAATATAAAAAGACATTTGAGGGAATATAGTGCTGCTTTAAAAAATTTGTAACATACGCATTATTGTGCACTCTCTTTTTTTGTCAAATAAGAAACAATCAGCTTAGGATTAATCAACCATTTTAAATGGGAAGATGCTGATGTGTTGGTTAAATGAAAAAAAACCTGCAGATTTACAAAACGTACACAACAAATACCAGCAGTAGGATCTGTTCTTTATTCCAAGAGGCATGGTGATCAGTTGAGCTGTTGCCTCTCAGCAAGCAGGTTGCCAGAACAAATCCCAGGTACTCTGGTTTTCTCCCACAGACCAAAAACATGCATGTTAGACTGATTGGTAACTCTAAATTGTCTCTAGGTGTCCCTGTGATGGACTGAGACAAGTCTAGGTGTCCCATGCCTCTCACACAGTGACTGCTGGATATGGGCACCAGTGACCCAGAAATGAAGAAGTGGGTAAAGAGGATGGACGGATGGCTGGATGGATGGATGATGTATGATGTATGGCTGGATGGATGGATGATGGATGCATGGCTGGAGGATGGATGGCTGATGGATGGATGGATGGAGGATGGATGGATGACTGGAGGATGGATCTGGAGCCCCTGTCCTGGTGCCCCCCAGGTCTTGGACCACATGAATCCTCAAACTGTTCTGCAGTTCTTCCAAGCCTAAAGCTCTTATTATCAAAGGCTACAGTTAGAAAGCGTGAATCCATCGTGAGGTTTCGTTTGTGATGAACTTGCAATCTGTCCAGGATGTACTCGCGCCCCTCGCACAGTGATTGCTGGACATGGGCACCGGCGACCCCTGTGACCCAAAATGGAAGATAGATAGATAGATAGCTTTATTTATCTCCGTAGGGAAATTAGTTTGCAGCATTGTTAGCAGGTATTTACATAAAGGACATACATATACAAACGTGACATTAACATCCATCATTACAGCAAAGAAGTTTGAGCTCAGTAATTCATGATACATTTTTTATTGTTTAATGATTTAATCACTTGTGGTATGAAATAAATTTTTGTCCTGTTTCTTGAGAATAAAGGAAGGCAGTACCTTCGCTCTGAAGGAAGCAACTCAAATGTTGTCTGCTATAATCTTGTTTGCCTTCCTCATAACTCTGTCCATGTATATTTTTCCATACTGGTCAGAGTGGTCTCTAACAGTTTGCTGGCTGTGGTTGCTATTAACGATGAGGCCGATCCGATCCAGTATCGGTATCGGCCTCCGATACCAGCATAATTTAGGTTTCGGATATTTCTGATCCAACCTGCAGAGATCTCTGATCCATGATGCATGTCTGTGTCTGATGAAACTTCTCCACGTGTGATTCCGTGCCAGCTGCTCTGCACGTTGGCTTCAAACTATGGAATGGATTTCCTGAACGGCGGCGTGTCTCATGAGCCCAGAGTAATAAGACCCTCCTCACATTCAGGAAATCCAGTTCATAGTTTGCAGCAGCTACAACGTGAGGACTGAGTTAGCAGCACTGTGGCTAACAGCTAACAAACTTTTCATCTAAACATGTCGCTGTGTGGAAGTATTTTACACTAAACACCACAAAACAAGACAGCAACGTGCACTGTCTGCAGAGCCATAGCGCCACATTAAACCACGTTAAACCACGGTAAAGTTAGTTTTATGTTGGACCTTCGAGCTTCGGGGCTTCAGCGGGGCGCTGCTCTTTGCTCAACAGGAAAGAGGCGACTCGACCCCAACCAGCCACGTCCAATCTGCCCCGCTCAGTCTGCTCGTCTCTGAGGAGGGACAGACTGAGCGCGGCTGACCCAACTCAGACTGCCTGCTTCGGACTGAACAAGAAGAAGACGTCGCTGAAACCACGGAGCTCTAATGTTTACAGAGAAGTTGATAAACTTCATCATGATTAATGACCAACCACTATCAGTTGTAGAAAACAAAGGATTTCACAGTTTGATACTTGCAGTCAAGATCTAGTTTACCCTCCAGAGATATTTATCAGTACAACAGTAGACAATCATAAAAAAACATGTGATTTGAAAATTATATTAAAAACAATCAGCTACATTATAAAGTGATGTAAAATACTAAAAACAGGAACATGTCTGTTGGTTTATGCCACAAACTTAGCAGATGTTTGAAGCCATTTAACATTTAATTTAATTTTATTCATTCATTTAAAAGAAACAAAACAAATTCATCAAAAAGGAAACATTGAATGAAAAGAGTGCAGAAATGGACCGATATCCAGATTTAGGTATTGGGAGCGGATCGTAAGTTTAAAAAAGTGGATCGTGCATCAGTAGCATTGCCAAACCAGCAGATGTTATAAGATGTTAAAACGTCTTCAATAAAAGCAGAATAAAACATTAAAAGCATTGAGTTATTTAACAGAAAAACACATCCTCTGCTGAGTCTTGGTGCTGATAAGGTCAGCCCATGAGACCCACTTTAAGTGAAAGTCCAGAACCACACCCAGGTTCTTGTAGCACATGACAGTTTCAATCTTCTCTCCATCGATGGTGGTTGTAGAGAATGACTGAACCTTCCTGAAGTCAATAGTCATTTCTTTTGGGGTTTTTTTTGTGTTCAGAACCAATTTTGATTTTTTTTGCACCAATTGAAGAAGTCCAGAACTGGTCCATGCTTCTCTTCCTTGTTGTTTAAGAGGCTTACCAGGGCCGTGTCATCAGCATATTTAATTAGATGTCTATTTGGGAAAGTACTTCTGCAGGAGTTTGTGTAGAGAATAAATAACAGTGAGGCTAACACACAGCCTTGAGGAGAACCAGAGCTGGTGGTTGTTTGTCAGAGAGTGTTGAACTCATCTGACCTGCTGGACCCTACCTGTTAAAACGTCTGTAATCCATAAAACCAAGCAATGTGAGATTAAAAACTCTTTTGTTAAGATTTCTGTTAAAATCCTTGGCTGAATGGTTTTAAAATCTGATGAGAAATCCACAAAGAACATTTTTACATGGGACGTGGTAAAAGTTAATGGGATGGTTTCATTTGTTATCATTATTATGAACGTCTTCGTGGGTTTGTCTTAATTGGACACGACCCAAATGGAGACGCTTCTTCTTGAGTCAAAATGGAGACATTTTCCAAGCCTTTGCTCCGGTGCCAACAAGTGACGAGACTTCTGTCCTTCCTCTCGTGTGATGAAGATGCTTGCATTCAATTCACATCAATAATAAAGTAATGATAAAAATAATAATCTTATGATAATCACAAAAGGACAAAAGGGTCTTAAGTTTTTTGGACAAGTCCAAATAAACATGTTTGATGTGCTGGAACAACTGCTGAAATAAAAAGGCTTGGTAGGTCTTGAAGGAATGCTTATCACCCGCCACATTTCGTAAGAGGGTTTAGAAGAGCTGAGAACTCAACGACTTGTTGCTGTTTTGGTCTGACTTTGTAAAAGTGTTCTGTGACATGATGCAACATGCACCTGTGCTCAGAATACGTGTTGCCAAGTGTAACGTGTTGTCATCATCTTATGTTTCTATGTCATGATGAAATGAGTTCCCTGCATTTAACCCATCACACCTGATATACACCCAGGTGGAGCAATTGAGGATTGGGTGTCCTGCTCAAGGACACCATGACATGTGGGCGTGGCATGGAGTTGAACCTGTGACTTTCTGGTCCCAGGTTGGCAGCTCTACCTCTACACCACAGCGGCCCCAATAATGTAATTACAACCAGTGACTTGTTTTTGTGTAGAAACAAAAACCAAAGCAGAACTGAATGTTTCAGCCACAATAAGAATGGATCAGCCGTAGGAGAGTTTCCTCTTCTTCTGCAGTCAAAGTAACATAAAGTAACGTTGCTGCGTCTTTAAAGACCACCTGCAGTTTATCATTTGATGCTGTGGCAGAAAATTCTATGTAACATAAAAAAAGACAGCTAGAGGTGAAAACTGGAGAGGTTTCTGGAGCATGATGTGAATAAACTGACGGACGCTTGTTTGGCTGCAGGCCAGGCTGAAGGACACAAGAAATGTCTGATTCCACTGGAAGGCCAATAAAACAGACAGAAACCATTAAGACAATTAAAAATGTTGGCAGTTCAAAACACAAGACAGACCTGCAAGTACCGCAGAAGTACCACCAAGTAAGTGCCCACTTTGTACCAGGTAGGTACTAGGTTCAAACACAGTAAGTATCAGATTAACACCTGGATAAAAGCAGATGAAAATCTGGATCATAGCAGATTAAAACCTGGATCACAGCAGATTAACACCTGGATCATAGCAGATTAAAACC